TTAAGCCACAATATTTTAGATATATAAGTAGCTCCTTCTATTTGAGGGGCACACTTGACTCTGTGTGTAATTAAATAAAGAGCAGTGCTAGGGGCACTCGCCTCTTGCACTCTCCGGCCAACACTTTCCCTTTCATTCGGCCACGTAAGCTTGTTTCAGGTTTTGAATGCAACCTCTCACCGACCAGACTAACGTGGCCCAATAGAAGTGAAAGTGTTGGCCGGAGAGTGCAGAAGACGAGTGCCCCCAGCACTCCTCTTAAATAAATGTCACTGCTCTGCCCAACTTAATAATAGCAGTATTATTTTTTTATGAAAATGTGCTGCTTGTTAGGCTAGTTGTTTGGGCAGCTTTACGATCCAACACTATTGAGGTCTTCTACTGCTTTCACACCTAAAATTTTGGAGAATGTTTTTTTAGAGAAAACATTCCGATGCTCAAGTCAGCAATATTCGATATTCTAGAGAGAGATGTTTTCAAAGAGTAATTGTCGAGAGAGAGAGAGGAGTAGTGATTAATTACCTTCATCGAAGGTTGTTGGTGGTATTTATAACCCCAAATACTGACATGAATCTGTACATATAAATATCTCATTGATCCATGTGACATTGCCCACGTGGGTATATCTCCTCCTCTTGGGCCTGGGGGTGCGTAATTGGACCTACTGTATGTGGCCCGAAATGGGTGTTGGGTCTAATCCAACACTAGTAACTGCGTATCTTTATTAATGCGTCTCTTAAAGTCAATTCATTAATGGCATTATTATGGTAATTCCACGGAGTCTAAAATGAAGAATGGAAGACTCGTATTTCCAGCTTTCAGAAAAACTAATGCACATGGTCTTAACCCTATTAGTTAAGAGTACTGCATCTTGCCAACCCCAAATGACAGCTACTGTAGCCACCAGGGTTGTGCCCAGTGATTAGCTGAGCTCCCTCAAAAACGCGATTCACCTGCGGGCTCTCCGCTTCAAGCCCCACTCACTTATCCCTACCCCTTTGGTGTTTAGGGATGGCAATTTCCTTCACGACCGTGGAGCTTCGTGAAGATTCCCATCACGGGGATGAAGATTTCAAAAATATTCCTCCCTGTGAGACGGGGATGAAGGTATTTTTTTTTTCGTGAAATTTTGTGGGAAATTTCCTCCACCCCATAAAGAACCGTAAGGATCTATATAAAATAAAAAATATATAAATTTATTTTTATATATATTTTTGTAAATATATTAACAATTACTTTTTATATACCAAACTTAATTAGTTAACCCAATAATAATACAATCTAAATTTTACAACTCATTCTTTTTTTAGTTTCCTAAATCCAATTGTCAAATCCAGCCTATTCTTTTTGTCAATCTAGTCTTCCTAAACTTAATTGCCCAACCAAATTTGCATTGGTAACCCTAGAAGGACTATCCAAAGATCTCAATTTTAGATTTGCAATTCCTCTTATCCAGTCTCCTCTACAGCTCTGCGCTATAACTCTATTTCTACTCCTCAATCCTCACCTATGATTCCCTTCAAGCTCTCATTGTCACTACCCATTATGCAACTACTACAACGCTAATCTTCTTCTATCTCTCATTCACACTCAAACTCGATAACTCTTCTCCAATCTCTCAACTAGCCATCGATAACTCATCTCTTTTATACCCTTTTTCTTAATGAACTTATTGTTGGACATGTATGGCCATAGTTTATTGCATTTTTTTTTCTATGAATTTTGTTGATGACAGTGGCAGTTTATGCCTTTTTTTTATGAATCTTTTGTTAGATTTGTTGGACTTATATGGAAATTTATGCCTTTTTTCTTTATGAACTTGTTGCTGACTTGCTGGACTTACTTGACAAGTATATATTGGATGTGTATATTTACTACTTATTTGTCTTGTTTCAAATTTTTACTTTATATGATTATTTGACCTACTTTTATTTGATGAATGTAGAAACTAATAGAATCTAAGCAGACTCATGTTGAGCTTAATTTTGATTAACAAGCAGTGGAGCAGGTGATAATTTTATTTGGTGGGGACTCCAAATACCCGCGGGGACCTATTATTCCCCGCAAAGATGGAGACAGAAGTTATTTTTGAACCTCCACCAAAAATCTCCGTGGAGATCCCCGTACCCGCCATTGGTGGAGATGGGGATAGGGATGAAAAGGGGGTCTCCGCCCCTGTGAGGACCCATTGCCATCCCTACTGGTGTTGCCATACAAGAAATAAATTTTTTTTTTTTTTCAACAGATACAAGAAATAAAATTAGAAGAAGGGCTTTCAAATATGTGCATGTAGGTACATATTCAGAATATATTTATTATTAATTTATATAAAAAATTATAAAAATAAATTTAATTTTTAATAAGGATACCATATAAAATAATTTAATTAGATAATTAATAAAATTTAAATTAATTTTTATTTTTTATATAAATTAATAATAAAAATATAAAATCAAAACACTCTTAACGTAACACAGGATAAGAAATTACGTTAAAAAATACTGACATCTGAGTTCAATTGTTGTGCCATGGCGCCCACACCCAAAAATTGTTAAAAAAACAAATGCTTACTAAGTAATGGCTTGGCCTATAATAATATACTTTGAGGCCCAGCAACCAACTCTAGCACGGGTTAATGGCCTAAGATGCGCAAAAAAATTTATGGTAATACTTGCAAAAACATAAGAAGTCAAGATTTTGTAGAGAGAAATAGGAAAAGAAGCCCAAGCCACAAACTCCAATTTATAATCAGGATTTTACTAAACTAAACCTTTCGCTTTGGGATTGGAGGATGCACCTTCCTAGAGGTATAGAATCGTTAGGTTACAAGGCGCAAGTGTTTAATAAACTAAACTTTTTAAAAATAAAAAGTATTATATAATTTAATATATTAGGTTAAGGTAAATTTTTTAATATTAAAAATTATTATTTTTATTTAATAATTTATATTTTATGATTTCAATTATAAAATAATAAATTCTTCTTAAAAACACAATATTTTATATGGGTCATCTATAAAAAAAAATCTATTACAAATAACTAAATAAATAAATACTTTATATGGTCATCAATATTGACTTTGACTGAAAACAACAAATCTTTGAGAAGTAATTATCTAGTAAGTTAGGAGGAAGTGATGGTTTGTAGAAGCCTAACTTTTGATTAAGACGAATGAAAATATAATTCATGTCAACCTAAAGATGATGAAAGCAAAGGGTAGGTCTCGATTCTGCTTATGCTCTTCCAGTGGTAATAACATATTTAGCAATTACTTAATATTTTGATTTCGAAAATTTGTCCTTGTCAGACCGAAAGGATCAATTCTGGTGTCCTTACTTATATTTATTTATTTATTTTTTATTATTATTAGATAGTAAAGAATTTGGAGAAAGAAAAATCTGGATATAAAAATTAGATTTTAAGTGTCTAATCATTTTTTTTTATTAGGTGATTAGTAAACCCACCACGTGTTGGACATTTATTATTTTTTTCTATAACATGTTGCGATGTGCTGTTCCAGAATACAACGTTTGACAAAGACGAGTGAATGATACATGCTAACTAATAATTACATATAGTTATAACTTGTTAATATTTTAAATAATTTAATAATAATTTTTTAAAAATATAAAAAAAAATTAATTTTAAATTACATAATATATAAATAAAATAAAAATAAAATATTAAAAAAATTATCATTTATTATATAATTAAAATAATATACTTCAATTGGAATATATATAATTATAACTTAATCCCATAAAAAAGAAATTCATAACTTAATAATTATCTAACTTCCCCAATTGGAATTGGAATGAGAGCAATGCTAGGGGCATTCGCCTCCTGCACTCTCCGGCCAATACTCCTCCTTTCATTGGGCCACGTTATTTTAGTTCCAAAGAAATTGCACTTTCAGAGTTTAAACAACATTACGTGGCCCAATGAAAAGGAGAGTGTTGGCCGGATAGTGCAGGAGGCGAGTGCCTCTAGCACTGCTCTTGGAATGATTGAGCAGGAGTTATTCTTTTATATATATATATATATATATATTTTTTTTGGTTAAATTGCGGGTAATCTGAACGGCACAAAGATTATTATTGGATATAAATGGTGTTTTTGATATTAAAGATTATTTTGCTTTATGTTATGTAAATTAAAGACTAATTAACTCGTTTAAAAAAAATTAAAATTATCATTAAATAAGTATTATTTCATAAATAAAATTTATATTAATACTTAAAATTTAATTTTCTTAGATACATCAAAACTTGAAAATATATTCGCAATTTTATCTAAAAGGGACCTGACTATTCATTAAAAAAAAAAAAATCTCTTTGGCGATTATTAGACTAACTTTTTAGTTTCTGCATGTCTTGTTTCGTTTAGTTTATTGTGATTTTAATCAAAAATAGAATATGCTGTGGCGGATTGTGACAAAATCCGTAAGGCCAAATCCTTTAGAGTTTAGACAAGTAAATAAAAAACATATTCCACTACTGTGTGGATGTTGGAACTAATCAAAGTCTAAAAACTTAACTATTACATAAAAAAGTAACCTTTCTTTCCCATAATCCCTTTCCATAGGCAATTGGAACTCAACATTCTTAACTTAAAGCTCTCAAGTTATTAAGTATTTGAGAAGAATTTTATTTTTTAAAAAATTACTATTTAAATTATTTTACACTAGAAAATATTAACTATTTCGTAAAATAGTAAAACCATCGCCATCTAATAATTAGTGTTTTTTCACTGGACCTCGTTATAAAAGGAATAATGATAGGGAGTATGAAGATCTAGGATGAACATTTAGAATCAATGAAGTTATTTATATTATATTATTAAATTAGTTAATATATATAATATTATAAATTTTGAACGATTCGCTTCGATTCAGTGGTATTTAATCATGTGTTAGGACTCTTCATTTCCAATGAGTAGCATGTTCGAATCTTACGGAATTTCTTTCTTTCCTTCTTTTTCTCAATTAATCCTATAAATAATTATAAATTGTTAAAAAAAATAATATTATAAATTAAAAAAAATAAAAAATTAAATAATATAATATTTATTTTTAGTATTTCAAATAATATAATTTATATTATATCATAAATTTTAAATTTTAATTTTATTTATCATTATTATATAGGAATCCTAAAAAATAATTAAAACATAATATAAACAACGAGTTAAAATTCAATAAATGCAAACGGCCTACACCGATTTAATGACATTTGACTTAAATTGGAATTATCCACCTCTTGTGTATGTGTATTACGTGTTTGAATCAAACTAATTCTTTTTTTTAATTTCCTAAATAAAAAAAAAAAAAATAAAAATTGGTTTTAAAAAAAAAAATTCCAGTAAACGCAAACCGCGTTGGAATGTCGGGCTCTTTCCATTTGGTTGGGGAGGTTTGGATGGGCTTGAGACAGCTAAGTAAAGTAAGAGAGAGACGGAACCCTAAAATTACAACTCACCCGAAAATGGAAGACACGCAGCCGTAGAAAAAAGTAAGGGTGGCAACTGGAAAAGAAGAAAACGAAATGGCCCCCTTGGTAATTACATCAAAACAATGCGTCCTATATCGTCAATTAAAACTCTATAAAACGAGGACGAAATGAAATGATTCAGTTCGTACCCAATCCGTTGCTGCTGACTGTCACTGCGCTGTAACCATATTGGCATATTCCCCCACTCCTCCCCACGGTTTTTCCCTTTCTTTGCTTTTTCCTTTTTTGCAAAAAGCATTTTCCCCCAACCAAACAAAAGCACTTCTCCCCTCCTTCCCTCTCCCCTTTTTATTTTTCAATTTTCTCTACTTCATATTTTCTCGCAGCCGAAGACCTATTTCTCTTGAATTGAATCAGCAGTAGCATGGAGGATCGGAAGGATCAGGTGAGTCAGTCTACCTTTCTTGCTTTCTTTTACCTGTTTTCATGGTCTTGTTTTTTGTTTGTTTGCTGAGAAAATTTGATGGAAATGAACTCGAGGACAAGAGGTCTTCTAGAGTTTCTCTCTGTTTTAGTTGTATTGTTTTTGTTGCTAGATAAGATGGGCAGCACAGCAGTCACGAGCTACTGAACTGAAAGTTTTGTATTTTGAATCTTGTTGTTTCTTCAATTTCCAGTTTTCCTGCATTTTCTCGGCTACCAAGCAGGCCTCGGGATTAAGAAATTTTCATTACGATTTAAAATTTGGAATATTTTATAATCTTAAAAGCTCCTTATGAACAGATTTTGAGCTTTATGGATGCTCTTATTCGAATTTCCCTTCTCTTTTTGGTTTGATTTTTAGTACTATATTATATGTTTTGATTCACGGAGAAGTTTTAGATCTTAGTTGTGGAAGTATAATTTTATTAGTCACTTTTTTTTTTCTACCTTTTTCAGCCTCAAAAGTTGAAATTTACTTTTTCTTGAGACATTCAACGAAATTATTATGTTGCTTTTTTCAAATCTGGGAACAGTCAAAGTTGTCCCCTCTTATTTTTCTGTTAAATTTCTTCATAATCCGATCTTTCTTCCTCTGTTAAATTTCAAGACGGTTTTTTTTTTTTCTTAATTAATTAATTTCTCGAATGAATTCTAAGAATATTTCTTTCTTAAATCTCTGCATGGTTTTTCAAGGTGGGTTGTTTTTAATTAAAGTACTTTTACTCATTTCATAGATGGACTGGAATTTTTGTCATAAAAGAAAAGAATAGGCTCTCTTTGTATGAATTAGTAAGTACCTCCTTCATCCATGAAAATTGAAGGAAGCATGGATGCTTTGGATGTAGTTTTCATGACTTATCTAAGTTATCTTGGTTTAATTTAGTGAGTCTATCTGTGCAGAAAAATGCTCCATGGCTATCAGTGCCGCAATTTGGGGACTGGGACCAAAAGGGACAGGTTCCCGATTACTCTCTTGATTTCTCAAAAATCAGGGAAACGAGGAAGCAGAACAAGAGGGAATTGTCAAGAGCTAGTCTTGGAAATGAAGATGAGCTCATTAACCCAACTGCCACCACCGAAACCACCGCCCCTAGCAAGCACCACCCTGATTATCCTCAGAACCATGAGGCTCCAACTGTAAGATTCTATCTCCATTCTATATTGCTTTGTTATTTCTTTCATATGATGCATATTTAAATATTTTTTTTTAATATGGCCACTCTAGTTTTTGGTTGGTATCAGAACATAGGGATAGACGGATAGTAACAGAAGGAAGAATATACCCATAAAATTGTCATCCTTGTGATGGGGTGGTGGGGAAACTGCATAGTAGTGTCACAGATCTTTTGTTTGGTTTGTAACTGAGTGCTTGGAAAATAATTATAGAATATAATATGACTTTTAACGAGATTTTGCCAATTTGAAAGTAAAAACTGAAAAATTGACCAGGTTGATTCAGGCGGAATAATTGTGTATGGCTTAATCATTTTGTTCATCCGATATATAGATTCTAAGGCTGGCGATCTAGTGGCCTCTATCCATGCATACCTCTATACTTAACCTAACAAAAATGACATGATCAATTTGGCAGTAAGCTGATATACAATTTTGGGCTCTCTCAAATGGGTTTAGCAAGTTATATTTGGAATTAAACTTCCAAGTCACAATCTTCATTATTGAAGGCATTGTAAATATGTTTAGATTAGAACTTTTCTGTGGAAGAAGTAATAATAAATTTTGATAAATGGGGATTGACATCTCGACTAGGAACTTGTAGAGCTTGCTCAACGAGGGGGCTAGCGTGATTGTGATGCATATAGTCTGACCAACTTGGGATCTAGTTTTGTCTATGCATCAAAATAATTTTTTATATTTCCAAATCCTGTAAGTTTTATCTAGAGATTCATGTTAGGAATGTGTGCACCAAGAAATAAGCAAAATCTTTATTACTGGGAGTCTAGGACCCAGGATGATCCGCCTATACTTCTTCCCTAAGTCACACGTAAGTCCAAGTGGTGCACATGCAACAGATGTTTTGTCCATATAATACACGTTGTTGATGACAGATGACTGTATTTTGGCTTATTCTTCCAATTAGAAAAGATTTTATTCATTCTGCATTATTTTTTATATATAATTTGTGTCCCAAGATGATGCCTCGAAAATTTCATCTCTTTTTGGATTAACAAAACCTGAGTCAAAGGTTGCACGTCTGGAAGTGGAAAGTAATCAGCAAGAGTGATTTTTTGTTTATTTATCTCATCAAGTTTGATTATTGAACATAGAAGTTGGTCATTTTTATTCATTGGAATTCCCAGATGCTGTTCTGAATCTGGTGCATGGTTTAGACGAAAACATAAAGAAATTTTTATCAACGCTTAAATGAATTATTTTCTTGGGACGTGCCATTACCCTTCGTTTCCATCAATGGCTCCTCCACCCCTACCCCTCTAGGGGGCCTCACTTATTTTCCTTTTTTTACCATTTTTATGCAGTAAGTAATAGTACTTGGTGATTCAGTGTTCAATTCGGTTCATTGCAACCTTACCAATGTTCTTTCATTTGACAGACAAGGAGGAGCATTTTCAGCTGCTTCAACTGTTGCGTGAAAGCCTGAGAAGCTTTTTTGGAGAAGCTTTTTTGGACTTAATCCTGCAATGTCTTTGATGCTATGTGTAATGGTATTGTATCTCCAAGAACCTCCTTGGGCCTAGTCTGCTTTTCCTTTCCCCATCTTTTTTCGACCCCGTCATCACCCCCCTTGTTTTTCTATAAAAAAAAAAAAAGGAAAGGAAATGATGATGTATCCGTCAAATAGGTGATGATTGATTCTCTTGTTTGGGCCACTAGAAAGTAGAAATCCATGGGAATTCATGTAATTTTAATGGAAACTGATACAGAGAAATGCAATGGAGGTTCTAGCTTTGAAATTTCAAACCGTGGAATGGTTGTGGTGTTTTGGGTTTTGGATTTGGTGACATCACTTGCTTAGAGGAACAGTACCGGTGGGTTTGAGACTTTGAGGCCTAAATTTCTTGGTGTCTGTCATTTTCTATGCATGTTAATGACTAAAGCTTGGCCATCTCAATTACTCAAGGACGACTGGAATAGGGCCATGGAAAAAGGTGGATATGAAAAGAATCGAATCAAAAAAATTAAAAAAATTAAAAGGGCAGGACTTCTATTTTTGGAGTGGTGTTATTGCCACAGCTTCACAGGTTAACACCACAACTTTTTTAATTAATTGACCATTAACCCACACGGAGAAGGTGGTGACTGCTGCAAGTTGGATTCAAACGAGGGGTATAATAGTTAAATAATTAAAAAAAGCTGTGGTATTAACAGAAGTGGCTGTGGCAATAACACCACCCCTTTTTGTGCGGGCACAGTATACTGTTTCCAAGCATGACCATCTAAAATTAAAATTCCTTTATTTAATTAGATAAAAATCTCTAGTAATTAAATCATGTTTTCATATCTAAATGGTTCACTTTCAAATCTTAAAACATATGAGTTTGTTGGCACCAAAAAAAAAAAAAACATATGAGTTTGTTAGTTAAGATTTTGATTTTCAT